GTGGCGTAAGTTCTCAAAGTTAAAACCCCGCCTGTTGTCTGTCAGCATAGCTTTATATTCTGAGAACACCCTTTCTACATCACACGAGACGATTGGTGCAGAAGAGAGTAGCTCCACACAGCAGCACTGCTCCTGACTGACTAACTCACTAGTCCAATGAGTCATGACCAGGTGTGGAAACGACAGATTAAAGCGACGTGACGTCACCTCACTTCACCTAACCACACCTCACCTCACCTCCCAGTACCACGTGTGCTCATTCAGTGGCAACAAAGAGATACTGCCAGATGAATATTTTACCAAAATATGCATTTATATGCAGTTATCTAGGTAATATGCACTTATCATAGAAATCACGCAAAATATGCATTTGCATATGAAATATGCAAATGCATAACTATCCGGGCCCTATTATTATTAATAATAAATTAATTAATTGAGTTGTTGGAAGTGAAACTGCAGTGAATCCAGAAATATTATAAATATAGATAATAATGGGAAATAAATAAATACCAGTCCAGTGCATAAGTGGTATAATAGGCTAGTAAACTCTGATAATACAATTAATTAATTTTTTTTTAATTTAATTTATTAGTAAACATAAAAGTCCATCAGTTTTTTTAGTGAAAGTTAAATAATAAATTATATTGTGTGCAGAATGAATCTGGTGGAGGTGTGGTTATATTAGTGAGGAAGTCTCTTATTTCTCTTGTAGACAATATATATTTCTTGAATGCTCATTTGTGTGATAAAGCGGTATGTCATTTATATGATAAAGCGGTATGGTGCGAGATCATTATGAAAAGGAAAAATATACTATTTGGTGCTGTGTATAGGGCTCCTATTACAAGTCTCAAGAAAAATATTTTATTGAATTACCGAAGCAAGTTGTTTCCTTTCCTCGTGGATGTAATGGTAAATCTCCTTGTTTTGCTCTACTAAGATACTGTTTCTGTTGTAAATATGTCTTCTCGTGGACTTTTGAACAATCCAAACGTATTCTGTTACATATGTGGGTGCTTTCTGGGGAATAAGCAACGACAAGAAATAATCGCATCCATAAAAAATGCATATTTTGCCTACGTTGGAGTGAAAATAGGTGATTTAGATAAACCATGGGCGCCACATAAAGTATGTCGCACTTGTGTTGAAGGTTTAAGACTGTGGAAATATGGTAAGAAAAAAGTTATGCCATTTGGAGTCCCTATGGTATGGCGCGAGCCTAAAAATCATGGTGATGACTGTTATTTTTGCTCTGTAAAGATAGAGGGATAAACTGTAAAAAAATAAACAACGAATCATTTATCCCAAGATTCCATCTGCCATGAGACCAGTGCCACAATGCCACATGGTCCTGAGGTTCCAGTCCCCATTCCGCCAGATGTGTTGCAGTCCGTGTCATCAGAATCTGACCGTGATTCATCGTCAGATAACGGAAGTGATGTTTATCAGCCTGAAAATATAAGTGATGTACCGGAGGTGTTTACCCAGAGTGAACTTATCGATCTGGTTAAGGATTTGAATTTACCAAAGGAGTCTGCTGAACTTTTAGGATCTAGGTTGCAATCAAAGTAGTTATTGAGCAAAGGAACATAATTTTCATGGTATAAACAACGTGAACAAGAACTAGTTCAATTTCTAAGAGGAAAGCTCCTTGATTTATTGTAGTAATGTGTCTGCCTTAATTAACTATTTTGGCATTACCTATACAGCTAGTGAATGGAGGTTGCTCATTGATTTTTCAAAACCAAGTTTCAAAGGAGTTTTACTTCATAATGGAAATGTATTTTCATCAATTCCTGCGGCTCACTCTGTTCATCTTAAGGAAACTTTTGAAAATTTGCAGATACTTCTAGAGAAAGTTCATAATAAAGATCATAGTTGGTTGGTTTGTTGAGATTTCACAGTCAATGCTTTGTTGCTTGGTCAACAGAGTGGATACACGAAAATGTCATGTTTTTTGTGCGAGTGGGACAGCGGAGCAAGACGTGAACATTGGGACAAAAAACACTGGCCACCTAGACAGGGTCTTGTGCCAAGTTCAAAAAATATTCTACATTGATTGACCCTCAGACAGTGCTGTTGCCTCCCCTGAATATTAAATACGGGTTAATTAAAAAATTTGTAAAAGCCTTAGATAAGGAAAGTGGTTGTTTCAGGTACATATGCAGGGAATTTCCATCAGTCACATATGAAAAAATAAAGCTGGCATTTTCGTGGGCCCTCAAATCCGAAAGTTAATGTTGGACCACCAATTTGAAGAATCGATGAACCAGTGTGAGAAAGAAGCATGGAATAGTTTCAAGAATGTTGTGTATAGTTTTTTAGGCAATAGAAAAGATCTAAACTATCAAAACATTGTTGAAGGTATGTTGAATAACTTTAAAAACATGGGTTGCAATATGAGTGTAAAAGTGCATTTTTTACATTCCCATCTTGAGTATTTTCCTGAAAATTTAGGTAGTTTAAAAGTGCAGAGGAAGGTGAAAGATTTCACCAGGACATTAAGGAAATTAAAAAGAGGTAATAAGGAAGGTGGAATGTGAACATGATGGCAGACTACTGCTGGATGCTGAAGAGAGATTGTCAGTGAAAAGATTTCCAGAAAATCACCCCCCCCCCCCCAAAAAAAAAGTTTCACCCATTCTAGAAGCCAAATATTTTTTTTTCATACATATTCATATTCCATAATCACTTCTTTCTATATTTGCAGGCAAATAGCTTTACTCACAATAATCTTCAGGTTCAGTTAACTTTGAAGCCTAATGAATTGTCTTATTTGTATTATATGGACATATTTGTATGTTGTATTTGTGTATGTATAAGTTATATTATCTTGTCTTATTGATAATAAAGTGTGACGTGCTAGAGCAAAACAAAGTTTATTTTTGAAATCCTTGATAAAAAAGTGAATCAGAATTACGTCTCAGTTTTAAGGCATTCAACTTTTCTTAAAATGCAGACCGGTGGAAAATCCATTACACACTTGGCCCATACATCATAAATAAGCACACCCACACCTTCCTTCCAGCCTGGTTTATATGGGGTTCAAAATGCTCAGCATAGGGAGATCTAAATGTTTATAACTTTCGGGCGTGCTATGTCCTAAAGAAAAAAAAAAAAAAATAAATAAAATATAATATATATATATATATATATATATATATATATATATATATATATATATATATATATATATATATATATATATATATATATATATATATATATATATATATATATATATATATATATACATACCTAAGGGTAACACTCGCAACATCCTGACCTTAAGGTAACACTCACTAAACTGTATTAATATAATATCATCCACACAAAATCCTGACCTTAGGGTAACACTCACTAAACTGTATTAAAATAATATAATTTAAGCAATACCAAACGTATAAGCACGTACGTGTCATAGGAATGCACGTCCATCATCTAAGGCAAGCAGAACTGATTTCAACTGACGCTGACTGTGGAACAACGCCAACCGACTGCTGTCCTCCGCTGTCCGAATGAGTCGTACGTCTGGCACTTAATTTTTACCTAAAACTTCACTTCAGCGAGTGAACATAAACGTCACTAAATCGCATTGGAGCAACGTCACTAGTGGAGTTCCCCAAGGCTCAGTACTTGGACCATTATTATTTATTATATACATAAACGACATAGATATTGGCGTAGACAGCAACATAAGTAAATTTGCTGATGACACTAAATAGGACGTGTAATTAAATCTGACGAGGACTCTGCAAAACTACAAGAAGATCTAAAAAAAGATTTTCGAATGGTCGGAAAAATGGCAGATGAAATTAAATGTGGACAAATGTAAAGTACTCAGTATAGGAGATGTAAACAGGGAAACCAGTTACCAGATGAACAACGATGCCATTGTGGAATCCGACTGCGAGAGAGATTTAGGAGTAATGATAAGTAGGAATCTTAAGCCAAGTAAACAATGTGTTTTTGTTCGTAACAAGGCTAATAAAGTACTTGGGTTCATACAAAGAAGTGTTAGTTACAAGACTAGCGAGGTCATCTTAAAATTATATCTAGCGCTTGTGAAACCTCACCTGGATTACGCAGTTCAGTTCTGGTCACCGTATTACAGAATGGATATAGAAGCCTTGGAAAGAATCCAGAGGAGAATGACAAGACTAATCCCGGGCATTAGGAGCCTTGAATACAGAGACAGGTTAAAGCATCTTAATTTGCACTCCCTCGAGAGACGTAGAGTGAGGGGCGACATGATAGAGGTGTATAAATGGAAGTCAGGGTTAAACAAAGGGGACATTACAAAGGTACTCAAACTATCCATGGTTTTAAATTAGACAAATTTAATTTCGGCGTGAAATAGGTAAACACTGGTTTGGAAACACAGTAGTGGATGAATGGAACAAGTTGCCAAATATCATCATTAACTTGAATATGCTGGATAGCTTCAAACATAGGTTGGATGCTTATATGAGCAATAGGGGTTGGGTATAAACGGGACTGCCCAGTATGGGTCAATAGGCCCGCTGCAGTTTCCTCCATTCTTATGTTCTTATGTTCTTATGTAACTGCTACACCGGCCGCGTCAACTCACTCACTGGCAGCCTGACTGAGGGATCCCAACCTACTGTACAGGGTACCACTATTTAGTGTGGAATTTAATGTGGCTAGTCCTCTACGTTAGTGTCACTTATTTTTAACACATTTGCTTGTCTTAAACATTACATTACATATAGCATCATTTAACAATATCGGAAATAATAACATTATATAGCAGTACACTAAACATTTAAAACATTTAAAATCGCTAACATTAAACCCAACCACCAAATCGAGAACACATACCGACACACACATAGGTAACCAGAATTATAAAAATATTAACCATCTTTCTTGGTGACACAACATGTTATGAACAAGAAAGTGTCAGTCGAGAAATGTCAATATTTACTACATTTTCCTTGAGGCGGTCCAGCGCAAGTGATAATGTCGTGGTTCGTTTTCTAACCAAGGTCTCCTTCCCCAGGCTGATATGGAGAACGACCTAGAGTCTCCGCTACCGCCATTTGAAGGCTCAGGAGATGAGGACCTGGATGGCATGCCGCCACCCCCACCCTTGCCTCCGCTGCCTCCGCCGCCACTACCAGGTAGGTTGCTGTAATGCACCGGAACCTTTTCGGAGTTTTATAGAAGGGTGAGCGGAATAACAGTGGGGTAGGAGAAAGAAGAATGGGATAGGTGAAGGAACAGTGGGTAGATGAAGGAACAGTGTTGCTTCCTGTTACACAGATACGAGGTAAACCGTTTGTAGGATAAGCTCCTAACACCGTAATGTTGAAGCTTTGACAGTAGGATGGTATGGTCCAGCCTTACTTAAGGCTGGGAGGTAATTCTTGAATAGACCTTTATCAACAGATTTTTTATATGCTAGGTGAACTTTAGCAATTTTCAGTTTATCAGGAAAGACATAAAGAGTGGAGACACCACTAGAGAAGGAATAGTTACAAATGTGTATGAAAACAGGTAGTAACAGGGAAGCCAATTTCTTAATGATGTCGTCGCCTGCTGCTGCATCTTTGAACATTTTTATGATGGTCAATAATTCATTTGCCGTCACTGAAGACAAGGACATCTCATTTTGCTGTCTGTTATACAGGTAGGCTTTAAATTCCTCTTGGTGATCAGAGATTCTTGCTGCAAGACTTCTGCCAACATTGATAAAGTAATCATTGAAGTGGTTAGTAATGAGGGAGGGTTCCGTTACAACTGTATCATTTATCATAAAAGCTGAGTGGGGAGCCGTAGGTTGATTGGTTGTGTGTTCATGTTTTGGAAAGAGTTGATGATACTCCAGGTTTTTCTAGTGTTTCCTGATGCTGACTGTAGTTTATTTGTACCATAGCTAAGTATGGCTTTTATTTCTATCTGCGTGTGGTACTCTATTTCGAATATTGAGGAAAGTAACACCGAAAGTCACAGGTATTTTTGCAAATTTTCTGTAAAAACAAAACAAAAAAACACTGGGGATAGTGGTAGTGATGATGATGGAGGTGGTCGCGTTGATGATGGCGGTGGGGATCGTAGTGTTGATGATGATGGTGGTGATGGTGTTGGTGGTGGTGTTGGTAGAAATCATAGTAGAGTGATGATGATGGTGTGGAAGTGATAGGGGTTAAGGGGACTGTGCTTAAGAAATTATAAAATAAAAAATAAAAAATTTTAAACGAAAGGTGTAAATACATCAGAGAAGTCAGCCTGAATTTACACGAAGAGACTGTCGAGGTGTTGGGGAGGACAGTGTTGTGTAGTGATGGTGTACAGAGTATGCAGTACTAGGCAAACAAACACTTTTTTTTTTTAATTATATATGTACATCAAAGTAAGAAAAAACTGGTTGATAACTTCTGTATTTGAGATCACATCAAGGTTCATATTTTAAGTTTTCGTTATATTAGTTCTATACTTTTGGGGATTAAATATAAATGCATGAAATAATACATCTTCCAGTCATGTCCAAGACCCCCACACTTACTGTGTGTCATGTATGTGTAAAATCATTGATTATATTCACTGTCTTTTCTTGAAGAATGCACTAATAAAATTTAGTAAATTTATCTTAATATAGTATATAACAACTACGTAAATCATTATATTTAGAGCAGATATTTTATGATGGTAGTCAGTCCAATTAAAACATATTTTTTTCACGCATCCAGGCAGGAAAAGGAAAGGTGAGGAAACTTGTGTGTATAATAAGGTTAGGTCTACCCTGTCATGCAGGAGGACAGCTAAGGGCCTTGGAGCTAGAATATATCCAAATACTTTGTTTTATTCATCTTTATTGCCTTATATTGCATGTCATGGATAATACGAGATTGGTCCTTTTTGGTGGTAAGTCATATAATTCTTAATCATCCTCCATATCTGAGCCAAATAACAGCTTAATCTCGGTAAAAGAACGCAGAAAGATCCAAAGGTTTTCATAAATACTCCATCACACAGTACAAAGAAAATAAACCAGAAAGAAAATGATCGTAAAGTATATGAACATTTAAAAATGAGCAGTTTAACAAAAACTTTTTCATCACTTGCGTAAAAATAATGGGGAGAATAGGCATTTTGTTTAGTTCATATTCCACTATTTCATTAAAAGACATTATTTCATTGTCCTTACAGACTATCCCTTACAAGGATCGAAGGGCGAGAAAGGCGACTCAGGACCCAGGGTGAGTAACTATAGGAACTGCTGCAACTATATGCTCTTCTCCATCATATTTAACAAATTTAAAATTACGTTGTAGAATAACTGACTTAATCGACTTAAAAATCGCAAGGCAGAATTAATGAAAGCAAAATTGGCCACAGTAGTTGAGGACTGACTGAGGTTAAGCATTAGAGGGTGGACGAGGAAAATTAGTCGTAATAATAAGAGTACAAGTCACGTTAATTAGGATAGTAACATGGCAATGGAGGATTAATAAGGATTGCTATCATGATGATGGAGGATTGATATGGATTACTAACGTGACGAAGGAGGATTACTAGGGAATACTAATATGACGAAGAAGGATGAAAATGGATCACTAACATGGCGAAGGAGGATTAATAGGGAATACTAATATGACGAAGGATGAATAGGGATTACTAACAAAGCGAAGCATGGACTGAGAGGAATTTGTAAAAGAGAGGAGCAGAATTGATATGGATTGGTGCCTCTGGAGGTCAGGATTAAGTATAAAATATTTGTAGGGTTAGTTTAGAGGATTTACTGTAAATGAACATAACAGTAAATGTAGTCATTATACACAGAGGTATAGAATGGGGCAGGATTATAATCCTGCTCCATCCTGATAATTATCAGTTATTTTTGTGTGAGAAGTTCATCAATGATATTAAAGTATAAGAGGATTACCATTTATTTTAAAGTGTGGCAGGACTACCATTTATTTCAAGGGGACAGCATGCTGAGGCAGGATTAGCAATTGTTTTAGGATTTGGTAACAGTGTAAAAAGTTGGAGTAGAGAGAGATAGAATTAATTGAACTATTAGACCGGGCAATGAAAACTGCAAATACAGGTTAATATTGAATGTAGGATGACCCAGTAGTACCAAGGACTATTGGATGGCCAGCAGTAACAAGGACTATTGGATGACCCAGTAGTAACAAGGACTATTGGATGGCCAGCAGTAACACGACTATAGGATGACCCAGTAGTAGCAAGGACTATTGGCTGACCAGCAGTAACAAGGACTATTGGATGACCCAGTAATAATTACGACTATACGATGACCCAGTAGTAACAAGGACTAGTGGCTGACCAGCAGTAACAAGGACTATTGGATGACCCAGTAATAATTACGACTATACGATGACCCAATAGTAACAAGGACTATTGGATGATAGTAACAAGGACTATTGGCTGACCAGCAGTAACAAGGACTATTGGATGACCCAGTAATATACGACTATATGACCCAGTAATAGCAAGGACTATTGGCTGACCAGCAGTACAAGGACTATTGGATGACCCAGTAATATTACGACTATACGATGAGTAGTAACAGGACTAGTGGCTGACCAGCTGATAAGGACTATTGGATGACCCAGTAATAATTACGACTTATTACTACTGGGTTACCCTATAGTCCTTGTTACTACTAAAGATCATCGTATAGATCCTTAGTACTGGGTCAACCTCTTATTCCTTGTTGCTACTGGGTCATCCTCTTAGTCCCTATTTACTACTGAATTAAATCTCAATCTATTACTACTGGGTCATCCTATGGTCTGTTACTACTGGGTCATCTATAGTCCTTCTTACCACTGGATCATCCTGTGATCGCTCTTACTACTGGTGTCTATAATCCTTATTTACTACTGGTCATCTATAATCCTTATTACTAGATCATCTAGTCCTTATTACTACTGGGTCATCTATAGTCCTTCTTACCACTGGATCCTATCGTCCTTCTTACTACTGGGTCATCCTATAGTCCTTGTTACTACTGGATCATTCCTGTAGTCCTTTACTACTGGGTCATCCTATAGTCCTTGTTACTACTAGGTCATCCTATAGTCCTTGTTACTACTGGGTCATCCTATAGTCCTTGTTACTACTGGGTCATCCTATAGTCCTTGTTACTACTGGATCATCCTATAGTCCTTGTTACTACTGGGTGTCCTATAGTCCTTGTTACTACTAGATCATCCCTATAGTCCTTCTTACTACTGGATCATTCTATAGTCCCTTTGTTACTACTAGGTCATCCTATAGTCCTTCTTACTACTGGGTCATCCATAGTCCTTGTTACTGGGTCATCCTATAGTCCTTCTTGCTTACTACTGGGTCATCCTATAGTCCTTGTTACTAGGTCATCCTATAGTCCTTGTTTTCTGGGTCATCCTATAGTCCTTCTTACCACTGGATCTTCCTATCGTCCTTCTTACTACTGGGTCATCCTATAGTCCTTGTTACTACTGGATCATCCTATAGTCCTTCTTACTACTGGGTCATCCTATAGTCCTTGTTACTACTGGGTCATCCTATAGTCCTTGTTACTACTGGGTCATCCTATAGTCCTTCTTACCACTGGATCATCCTATCGTCCTTCTTACTACTGGGTCATCCTATAGTCCTTCTTACTACTGGGTCATCCTATAGTCCTTCTTACTACTGGATCATCCTATAGTCCTTGTTACTACTGGATCATCCTATAGTCCTTGTTACTAGGTCATCCTATAGTCCTTCTTACTATGGGTCATCCTATAGTCCTTCTTACTACTGGATCATTCTATAGTCCTTGTTACTACTGGGTCATCCTATAGTCCTTCTTACTACTGGATCATTATAGTCCTTGTTACTACTGGGTCATCCTGCATAGTCCTTTAGCACTACTGGATCATCCTATAGTCCTTGTTACTATATCCTATAGTCCTTCTTACTACTGGATCATTCTATAGTCCTTGGCCTACTGGGTCATCCTATATAGTCCTTCTTACTACTGATGTCCTATAGTCCTTGTTACTAGGTCATCCTATAGTCCTTCTTACTACTGGATCATTCTATATAGTCATATTTACTACTGGGTCATCCTATAGTCCTTCTTACTACTGGACCATTCTACTAGTCTTGTTACTACTGGATCATCCTATAGTCCTTCTTACTACTGGATCCATTCTATGGTCATGTTACTACTAGATTAAATCTCCATAATTCCTTTCTTCACTGCTGGATCATCCTATATAGTCCTTCTTACTACTGGATCATCCTATAGTCCTTGTTACTACTGGGTCATCCTATAGTCCCTTGTTACTACTGGGTCATCCTATAGTCCTTCTTACTGCTGGATCGTCATAGTCCTTGTTACTACTGGGTCATCCTATAGTCCTTGTTACTGGGTCATCCTGGTCCATGCCTGCTGGATCATCCTATAGTCCTTGTGCTACTAGGTCATCCTATAGTCCTTCTTACTACTGGATCATCCTATAGTCCTTGTTACTACTAGGTCATCTATAATTCTAGCATTTACTGGGTCATCCTATGGTCCTTCTTACTACTGGATCATCCTATAGTCGCCTTGTTACTACTGGGTCATCTATAGTCCTTGTTACTACTGGGTCATCCTATAGTCCTTCTTACTACTGGATCATCCTAAAGTCCTTGTTACTACTGGGTCATCCTATAGTCCTTCTTACTACTGGATCATCCTATAGTCCTTGTTACTACTGGGTCATCCTATAAATCCTTGTTACTACTAGGTCATCCTATAGTCCCCTTGTTACTACTGGTCATCTATAGTCCTTGTTACTACAGGGTCATCCTATAGTCCTTATTTACTACTGGGTCATCCCTATAATTCCTTGTTACTACTGGGTCATCCTATAGTCCTTGTTACTACTGGGTCATCCTACAGTCCTTGTTACTACTGGGTCATCCTATAGTCCTTGTTACTACTGGATCATCCTATAGTCCTTCTTACTACTGGATCGTTCTACAATTCCTTGTTACTCACTGGGTCATCCTGGTCCTTGTTACTGCGGATAATTCTATAGTCACTTGTTACTACTGGGTCATCCTATAGTCCTTTGCTACTACTGGGATCATCCTATGGTCCTTCTTACTACTGGATCATCCTATAGTCCTTGTACACTACTGGGTCATCCTATAGTCCTTATTTACTACTGGGTCATCCTATAGTCCTTCTTACTACTGGATCATCCTATAGTCCTTGTTACTACACAAGAATTCATCCTATAGTCCCTTGTTACTGCTAAGGTCATCCTATAGTCCTTCTACTACTGGATCATCACTACAGTCCTTGTTACTACTGGGTCATCCTATAGTCCTTGTTACTACTGGGTCATCTATAGTCCTTGTTACTACTGGGTCATCCTGGTCCTTGACTTGCTACTGGGTCATCCTATAGTCCTTGTTACTACTTGGTCATCCTATAGTCCTTGTTACTACTGGGTATACCAGTCCTTGTTAATACTGGGTCATCCTATAGTCCTTGTTACTACTGGGTCATCCTATAGTCACTTGTTACTACTGGATTAATCCTATAGTCCTTCTTACTACTGGGTCATCCTATAGTCCTTGTTACTACTGGGTCATCCTATAGTCCCTTGTTACTACTGGATCATTCTATAGTCCTTGTTACTACTGGGTCATCCTATAGTCCTTGTTACTACTGGATCGTACTATAGTCCTTCTTACTACTGGATCATCCTGTAGTCCTTGTTACTACTGGGTCATCCTATAGTCCTTCTTACTGGATCATCCTATAGTCCTTATTACTACTGGGTCTCCTATAGTCCTTGTTACTACTAGGTCTCATCCTATAGTCCTTATTTACTACTGGGTTCATCCTATAGTCCTTGACACTACTGGGTCATCCTATAATTCCTTGTTACTACTGGGTCATCCTATAGTCCTTGTTACTACTGGGTCATCCTATAGTCCTTGTTACTGGATCATCCTATAGTCCTTCTTACTACTGGATCATTCTATAGTCCTTGTTACTACTGGGTGTCTAGTCCTTGTTACTACTGGGTCATCCTTGTTACTACTGGGTCATCCTATAGTCACTATTTACTACTGGATCATCCTATAGTCCTTCTTACACTGGATCATCCTATAGTCCTTGTTACTACTGGGTCATCCTATAGTCCTTCTTACTACTGGATCATTCTATATAGTCCTTGTTACTACTGGGTCATCCTAT